AATTACCGCACATTTAGCAGTGAAAAGATATGCATTTATTATCTGCTCATCCTATGAGTGGGGAATCTGGGTATGGCTTCACTGGGTCCCCTGCTCAGGTCTCACCAGGCTGACTTCTTGTCTGGAGGTGCTCAATCCATTTTCAAGCCCATTCAGAACTCTGGTTGTTAGCAGAGTTCATTCAACTCCTTGTGGTTGTAGGACTGAGGTTCCATTTTCTTGCTGACTGTTAGCTGGGGGTTGCTCTGAGCTCCTTGACACCACTCTCAGGTCCTAACCATGTTTCTCTCCTACTGCATGGCCATGCGTTTCCTCAAAGCCATCAGGGAAAAGCCCTTAATTAATCAGGCCCTTCCTCAAAGCCATCACTTAAAGCTCTCTGCAGCCTGCTGCAATGGAGTCTTCTGTAATATTGTGGAATCCTAGAAGTGACTAACCCTCTTTGGGAGGCTGAGGCAGATGGATCACTTGAGGTCAGAAGTTTGAGACCAGCCTGGCCAACATGGTGAAATCCCATCTCTACTAAAAAAACAAAAACATTTAGCCGGGCTTGGTGGTGTGCCTGTAATTCCAGCCACTCATGAGGCTGAGACATGAGAATTGCTTGAACCTGGGAAGTGGAGCCAGATCTCACCACTGCACTCCAGCCTGGGTGACGGACCAAGACTCCCTCTCAAAAGAAAACAAAAAGAGAAAGAAGAAAAAAGAAGTGACAAATCCATCATATTTGCAGGTGCTGCTTACACTTGAGGGGAGGGGATTATTTGGGATGTGTACCCCAGAAGGTGGGGATCTTGGAGGACTGTACTGAGTTGAATAGTGTCACCCCTAAATTCATGTCCATGTGGGACCTGTGAATGTGACTTTATTTGGGAATAGGGGTTTTGTGGATGTAATTGAGTTAAGATGAGGTCATACTGGATTGGCAGTGTCTTTACAAGAAGGGGAAATTTGGGCAGAGAGAGGCACAGGGAAGAAGGCCGTATGAAGATGGAGGCAGAGATGGGCTGCTGCCATGAGCCACGGAACGCCAAGAATGCTGGCAACCCCTGGAAACTAAAAGAAGCAAGGTGGGATTCTCCTTACAGCATCTGGAGGGAGCATGGCCCCACTGATGTCTTGATTTCAGATTTCTAGCCTCCAGAACTGTGAGAGAAGAAATTTCTGTTGTTGAAGCTGCTCGGTTTATGATACATTGTTACAGCAGCCCTAAGACAGGAAAACAGGACCTACCTAGAATTCTACCCATCCCAGGTGATTTATGAGAATGAAGCCAAGGGGCACGGAAGCAGCAATTCCTCAGAAACGGAGGCCCAGGGCAGACAATCTCTTGGTGATCTCGACAGATCATATGGTAGATCCCTACCGCTTTTCAAATTTTGGTTTGCATGATTTTAATTTTTCTTCTTCTTCTTTTTTTTTTCTTGAGACAGAGTCTTGCTCTGTTGCCCAGGCTGGAGTGCAGAGGCACGATCTCCACTCACTGCAACCTCCGCCTTTCGGGTTCAAGTGATTATTGACCCTCAGTGTCCTGAGTAGCTGGGAATACAGGCACGCCCCACCATGACGGGCTAATTTTTGGGGGGGTATTTTTTGTAGAAGCAGGGTTTCACCATGTTGGCCAGGCTGATCTCGAACTCCTTACCTCAGGTAATCCACCCTCCTCGGCCTCCCAAAGTGCTGGAATTACAGGTGTGAGCCACCACACCCAGCCTCTTCTTTCTTATTTCGGGAAAAAAAAAAATCATATTTACTCAACAGTTGTAAAAATAGCACGTTGGACTCCTGTTTACCCTTCACAAAGATTTATCAACTTATTATTTTGCATGCTTTTCTGTTCAGGAACCACGGAAAGGATAAAGGCATTGAGTCAGAAAGACATGAATTGAATATTCACTATCACTTGTTTTGTGATTTTAGAAATGTTATTTTCAAACACCTTGAGCTTTTGTTTAATCACGTGATGCCCTTTCACAGAGCTGGCTGAGAGCACATAAGGCAGGCCCAGAAGGCACCCAGCAGAGAGACGGGCACACGTGGGTGCCTCATACATGTGTGATTTTCAATGCTTTACACTGATTTTCCTGACTTCTTCTTCTTCTTCTTTTTTTTTTTTTTTTTTTTTTTTAAGACAGGGTCTCACTCAGTCTCCCAGGCTGGAGTGCAGTGGTACAATCACAGCTCACTGCAGCCCTGACCTCTCCCGCTCAGGTATTCCTTCCACCTCAGCCTCCTAGGTATCTCGGACCACAGACATGCACCACCAAACCTGGCTAAGTTTTGTACTTTTTGGTAGAGACAGGGTTTCTCCATGTTGCTCAGACTGGTCTCAAACTCTTGAGTTCACGCAATCTGCTCCACTTGTTTTCCCAAAAGGCTGGGATTACAGGCATGAGGCAGTGCACCTGGCCAGTTTTCCTAATGTTTTAAACAAAATTTTCTTTACCTACTTCGTTTGATAAGGACATCTCCTCAGGATTCCTTTTCCTCTGTCTATCCCAAGTGTCTCCAGGCCTCAGTCACCCCTGGAGGATAAATGGGACAGACCAGTACACACCCAGACCTACTTTTTGCTGGCCCAGTGCCTCCGCTTGCTCTCACAGCATCTCCAGTCCCCCTGACAACAACTGGGTGTCCCCTAGAAGGTGTTCCTCATGTGTGCTGTTGCGCTGGTGACCATGTGATGCTGCTGGACCTCACTACTCTTCTTCCCATCCCCCAGGCATGGCCGTCCTCTCTGCCTGTGGCCACTATACTTGGCTGGTCACTCCACAGTGTCCCACCAGCCACAATGGATGTGCCATTGCTCTGGATTGCTTTGCTGAACACAAGTGTCCACTCTGACAGTGCCAAGTGCCAAGGTCACACAACGACCTTCAGGAATGTGGGGGACCCCCTGACAGTAGGGCATCTGTGCCTATTGCCCCTGACAGTTGAGAGAAGCAGCTCTTTGTTTCTACTCACGGCTTTCTTCTGTGCAGATGCAGACATGGGTCTGAAGGTGAGGCTGGGTAGATCTGGTATAGTTATTGTCTCATTATTAGGAGTCCACATGCCACTTCAGTGGCTACTTAAAGGTCAAAGTACCTAGTGTCTTCTTTCCTAGGATGAGTTTTCTCTAAATAGGCTGTTCACACCTCCTCTTACCCCAGGATCCCATTATCTCCTTCACCTGGCCTTGAGAAGTGCCAGATCTTTCTGCATGTTAGCAATAAACAGAACGAGCATGTTCTCTGGAGGCTCCTTAGCAGCCACATCAACAGGCTTGAGGCCTCCCTATCCCCCTAGATCAACGAATGTGCCTGGAAGGGTCTGGACCCTGCAGAGAACAGAAGGCTCGAGCCAAGATCTTTCATATCTGTATCAAAGCGTCTTTGAATTCATTTCCTTCTCTTCATTTCCCCTTTTCTCTTTTTCTTTCTTTCTATATGTTTGTCAAAATTTTAATTCAAAGGGTACATCCTTCTGAGTTGTCTTTCTTTTTATCCACAGAAGAATTTCAGAATGGTCACAAGAAAAATAAAGTCGGTAGTAACACACAAAAAATCAACTGAGCAATCTATTTACTTTAATTTATCATCTCGGTACTGATTAAAAACATTATGGTTGAAGAGAAACAAGTAGAGAAACAAATTTTTTTTCACATAAAAATTTTTCGTGGCATAGGTGTTCCACCTCTCATTTGAAATGTCCCACATAGGGAATATTCAAAGTCTAAAACTCCAACAGCAATGTAATTTAGTACTTAAAAAGAACTGCGTGTCAGAATACAGCATTATTGCTAGAGGGATATTCCACACAGATGAAAGTCAGGGTAAAGATAAAACAACCATTTCAATTGAACAAACATGGAAAGATTTTAGTTCAACAGGTGTTTGTTGAGTAGCCTTCCCTGGGTTAGCTACTAGGTTCTAGTATTGAAGAGTCAGAGATACTTAGGCTTTTTTTTTTTTTTTTTTTTTTTTTTTTGCTATTTTTAGGCCAGGTGTGGTGGCTCACGCCTGTAATCCTAGCACTTGGGGAGGCTGAGGTGGGTGGATCACCTGAGGTCAGGAGACCGAGATCAGCCTGGCCAACATGGCGAAACCCCATCTCTACTAAAAATACAAAATTAGCTGGGCATGGTGGCACACACCTGTAATCCCAGCTGCTCGGGAGGCTGAGGCAGGAGAATCACTGGAACTCGGGAGGCAGAGGTTGCAGTGAGCCGAGATTGTGCCACCACACTGCAGCCTGAGTGACAGAGTAAAACTCCGTCTCAAGTAACAACAACAAAATGAATATAGAGAGAAAAGAAAATGCAATACTTCCAATTCAGTAGTGAATTTTATTTTATTATTAGTTTTTTTGAGATGGAGTCTTGCTTCGTCACCCAGGCTGGAGTGCAGTAGCACAATCTCAGCTCATTGCAACCTCTGCCTCCTGGGTTCAAGCCAATTCTCCTGCCTGAGCCTCCCGAGTAGCTGGGATTACACGTGTGTGCCACCATGCCCGGCTGATCTTTTTTGTTGTTGTTGTATTTTTAGTGGAGATGGGGTTTCACCATGTTGGCCAGGCTGGTCTCGAACTCCTGACCTCAGGTGATCCACCCACCTCGGCCTTCCAAAGTGCTGGGACTACAGTGTGAGCCACTTCACCTGACCTAGTGAAATATTTTGAACCAATTACAGGATAATCAGAAAACAGGGTTCCTCCTCCATGAGGGACCTTCTGAATTGTTTATATGGAAGAAAGGTACTCAAGTTGGCACTGTCTTAAAATATAATTTTATTGCATGTTGTAGTATTATCAATGGCCAATTGGCCATGTCTGTCAACTTTAGTCCATAAATTGAATAGTAGAATCTAGTTGCTGTTAAGTGAAGAATGCTGTGCTTTTGTTGCTGAAGTCCCATCTAAAATCTGTAAAGTAGATTGCTTTAGCATACGGGATTTGACAGCAATAACAAGGAGCACATGAGTGCTCTTGTGAGCATGCTCAGTGGAAGGCTCACGGGAGCCTGATTAAAGCTGAGAAAAGTGGGGAAACAATGATTAACTTATACAGGCTGGGAATTAATTATCTCCATCCAACACATTCAGTATCAAAGTGAGCCGATCTCACTCACTGTCAGACACTGCAGAGCGAGAAACAGATGATGGTTCCATTGCAAACATCCTTTTGCTGAATATTCTACTTACGGTGAGTGCAATGATTGAAAGATAAGTTCAAATACTGAGGCATTTATAGCATCGAGCGATATTATTGCTCCTCTGGTTCTTTCTGGGCTCAATGGACATCTCTGATTTCAACAATTCTCTTTAACAATGTACAACAGACGATGTAATCTGAAGTTCTGTGGAACCATCCCAGGAACACATGGAGATTCTTGAAAACACCCCAAATGTGGCTCTTTAATTATCCGGCAGCATGTTGTTTAGTAGCAGATGAAATACCAAAAGTCTTTGGAAGGAGAAATGTTTTCAGGACTATAAGGCTAAATTGGAAATGGAAATTTAAATTTGTTATGATTAGAGTAAGTTTCATGGCTAGGGCTTTTTTTTCTTTATTATTTTTAAAATCAACGTCATATTTGCTCTATCAAAAAGAGGAAAAGTCTCCCTCTTTATTTAAGTGTCTTATCTTTTCTAGTGAAAATTAAAATAACTATCATTTTACTAATTATTTATTTTCTCATTTACAATAACAACTTCATGTCTCTACCAGATACATTTTTTGTTGTACAGAGTGCTAGAGTGAAAGTCATAGATTCACAATCTTGTGATCTGCCCTTCTGGGCATCTAGGGAGAAAAAAATAAACAAACAACAACAACAAAAAACATACTGTGACATTAAAATTGTATGACTACAGGGAGGGTGTTGTGGGGGGTTACCTATTTTCCTAGTCACCTCTGAAGTCCTGGCATGTTAGGGCAGGCAGTGAGGGATCTTCATAAGAGGCTCCAGAGGATCTCCCAGGAAGGGGGGAAACAAAAACAAGATATGTGGGAGCTGCCTTGTAACCTCAGGAGTGAGACTTGTCAATAAGAAGCACAGGGAAAAGGACTATCTTTTACCCTTCCTACAAGATCCAGTATGGACAGGGAATTTATTCTTGGGAGCAGAGTGAAGATATCAGAACTCAGCCCCCGGAGGTATGATACTGAGTGAAGCACTATGCTGTCATGTTTGTGTTTCATTTACATAACCTCGGTGCCTAGCCCACTACCCAGCAACTAACAGGCATTCAAAAATATTTTTTGAGTTAGTTTATATTTTCTTTTTACCCAACTTCTAGGTAACTTGCCCAACAGCCAACCAGGAAGTGAAAAAGAAAATGTGGAGAAGGAATACCCACTCCAGCGTCAGAGTTCCATTATGGAGAACTAGAAATGAGGGGGCTGGAAAATGTAGTCTAGCTATGTACTGAGAGAGAAAAAGGAGTTTGGTGAGTTTCTACCATGGTTTCATGACACGATGAGAACCTGATAAAAGTACCAGTGAGGAGAGGAACAAGACTGGGCTAATGGCTGGAGAAGCTGAGCTGGAGTGATAATGTCAACGTGGCAGCAGTCATGAAGACCAAGGGAGAAGCAATCAAACAATAGCAATAAATCAAGGAGACAGATCCGGGTGAGGGCAGTCTCACCGAAGCATAGCAGAAGGCCAGCAGAAGTGAAGGCCGTGTGTTGGAGTGAAGGTCTGAGCCCATAGGTCTCCATGGAGAAGTACCTTGAGATATTTCTAGGAAAAAGAAGTAGTCAGAGGGCCTGGGGATTAGGCAGGTCTCCTTGTGAGGGCCAGACACGTGGACCACTCTCACAGGTAACCACTTACTGGCTGTAATCTCTGGGCCATGGAAAGGTGAATGTATTAGTTACAAGTCACATAAGTGCAAACATATATGCATAGACATACTAGTGTCTTTCATTGATTGAGCATTACCTGTTTGCCAGGCACTATACATATATATATATACTCTAATTTTTACAACAGTGCTACGATGTACTCATTTTCCTTAGTTTCCATGAAGAAACTAAAGTTTAAAGAGATTAACTTGTTATACATTTTTGTAAGCAAAAAGCTGGATTTGAACATGGTGAATCTGACACTAGATTCCAAGCCACAGTGCAGTCACATCTATATTCATACTCTCTATGATATATGTGCATATATTTTTAAATGTATATTTTGTGACAGAGTGTATCAAGTAGCTATTGTTGCATAACAAACTGCTGCTAAAAATAGCAACTTAAAAACAGCTCTTCATTATTTTTCACAAGTCTATGGGATGGCTGAGCAATTCTGCTGATGTGGGCTGGGTTTAGTTGATTTTGGCAAGTGTCTCTCGCACCCCTACGATCAGCTAACAAACAGGTTGGCTGGGGGCTGCCGGGTCTGGGATGGCCTCAGCTGAGGTGACCTGGCTCTGGTCCCCGTGGTCTCTCATCCTCCAGCAGGCTAGCCCAGCTTTTTCTCATGGCGATGGCAAAGTTTCAAGAGAGAGTGGGTGCACACTAAGCCTCTTGAGGACTAGGCATAGAACTGGCACTCCACCACTTTTGCCACATTTGCCAAAGAGAGTCATAAGACCAGCCCAGACTCAAGAGTGGGGAAATAGAACCCACATCTTGATGGGAGGAATTGAAAGGTCATTTTGCAATGGGTTTGGATACAAGGAGGGGTAGAGAATGGGGCCATTTCAGTAATCAACCTACTGCATTTAACAGCTTAGGTATTTTTCCCCTAAAAAGTAGGTAAGAAAACAGCATGTTTGCTTAAAATGTGGTTTTATTAATTAGTGCAAGGGCACACGAGTCTTCCAAAATGTATGTGTTGTCTAGTCCCTCTGGTCTAAAAAGGGCTGAAATGGACAACATGTTAAATGGATAAATACCTTTTTTATTTAGGGAGGCAGGGCACAAAAATACCCACTTCCAGGCACCAGATCCATCTCAATAGAAAATAGCCTTGCAGTCGATGATTTTTAAAAAGCAAAACAAAACTGAAAATTTGACTTCCTGTATGCCCTGCAAAGAAGGGCGGGTGGAGAAGCTGTGAATGTGTGAGGAGCAGCTGGCTTTTATTTTTAAACACATATTATCGCTACCCAGATTTTTTCTAGAAAAATGGAAAGAGACTTACTAAGGAATTCTAACACACAGGGATATCATTTCAAGTAGGTGCTAATGAGATTGATGTGGTCTTTTCAGAATAAAGTCTTGTCTTTATAATCTATTCATTTAGTCCATGAAGTGGGAGAAAGAAACACAAAATGCTGAAATGTGGAAAATGCTAGAGATTCCTAATAGGCCCTCAAGAAATGTGTGGATTGTCAGAGCCAGGCTTCATTCACATAGACTTTTCCCTCAGGGAGTACAGTTTGGACATTCATAATTATGAGAATCTCCATGTCAGATTCCCGTAACACTAACATCCTTTGTTCAGAGGGAATTATCCAATACCATCAGTGCTAACTTCAGTGCCACAATATTATTCTTAGGTGAAAAGTTATGAATAAATTTAAAGTGTAACATGTAGAAAGCCAAGGAGAGGGCCAACCAAATGCTTCTTCTGCTCTTCTGAGCTCACTTATAGTAAATCTGGAAATGATATGGCAACTGACTCATAATTGAATTGTTTTGTAGGTTTTATGGCCAACTTACAAAACTAATTTCTATAAACTTTCATCAAGAATGGTAAAAAAAATGTCTACAGGAACCAGTGAGATAATATACGTGGCTAAGAAGGCAAGGTGGAAGTGGGTAGAGGTGATTGGGGGAATTGTAGAATCCTTATTTAAAAGGAGCTGATGAAAACTTAAACAAAAGCACTGTGCAATCCAAAAAAAGCACGTCTCTGGGTCAGATATGACCTGACTGAGTCAACTCATGGTCTTTATGATAGATCAACGTTAGATCAATAGAAAACTGCATGCCTCTAATCGTAACTCCTCTTGTACCAAATTAGCACAAGGATGAAATTAATTTTTCTTCTAATTTATTTTCTACCCTTTCCTTTAGAAAGTTAAAATAATACTACAAAATTATGTGCCAATCTCAAGATGCACATGTATATGTGATTTTCACGTCTGAGATTTCCCTTTGGGTGTTTTCTGGAATTGTCTGTGCATATTAAGAAATGCAAAAACAAGTATTTGGAGATAACCAAGATTCTAAACCTCAAACCTCTCTTGAAACGTATATAAAACTTAGACCAAAAGGTTACTTATTCTTGTGTTATCTAGGTGGGCTCTAAATAATATGTTGTGAGACCTGAATGTAGCTGGGACCTCAGCTTTCGTGCCATGTCAATGGAAAGAAACAGCAGAAAAGCAGAAAAGAAATGAACATTTGTCTATACGATTTCATGCAAACAACTATATGAATCAATAAATTTCCTATTTCCTCTAATAAGAAAAATCATTAAAAACATAACTAGTCATTTTTTGAATTGTTCTCCACAGTGTTCCAGAGCACATCATCTTTAATTGTACCCAAGTTGTTGGAGAAACAGCATTGACAGCATGTATTGTGCCATCACTGAGAATGTCATCCCAAGGATTAAGTACCCATTGTGAAATATTAGATCACTTGTTTTTATTTTTGTTTATCTTGTTTGTGCTTACACTTGATCTCTACAACATAAGCATGTAGTATTTTGCTTTCGAAAGATCTTTAAGAGAATTCTATAGATAATATCACCAATTACAATTGTGAGATGATATCCCACAAACAAACAACTAAATCTGTATTAAATATCTTTGCTCTTTTCTTACTGACCCCATCCCCTGATTCCAGAGTCATCCAAAACTGGCATTGATTGAGATCAGTTCAGGCCAATGTCCCTTTCTCAACAGCACCTAGCTGTTCAAACTAAAGTACAGTCAATGATAGAAAGCCTATAATATGAGAAACTTTGTAGGGATTTGATTATGATTCCTCTCTTTCAAAGGACACTTTTGAAAAAAAGAAAACATCGCAGTTTACAATAGGCACATATGATAATCAACTATTTCAATGGTATTCAGTCTTTTAGAAAAGAACCAAGACATGAAAGTGGGGATGCTGTTCTTTTTTTTTTTTTTTTTTTTTGAGGCCGAGTCTTGCTCTGTCGCCCACGCTGGAGTGCAGTGGCCAGCTCTCAGCTCACTGCAAGCTCCGCCTCCCGGTTTTACGCCATTCTCCTGCCTCAGCCTCCCGAGTAGCTGGGACTACAGGCGCCCGCTTTCACCGTGTTAGCCAGGATGGTCTCGACCTGCTGACCTCGTGATCCGCCAGTCTCGGCCTCCCAAAGTGCTGGGATTACAGGCTTGAGCCACTGCGCCCGGCCTGCTGTTCTTAACATCTAATAAAATATCTTAATAATCTTCTCTAATCTGCCAGTATTTCCCACACAGGCAGAAGTTGTTACTTTGTAAATGGATTCCCCGTTCCCAGTTCCCCGCTATAGACTCTTCCCTCAACATGCACCCAGCACAGTGTCTCCCGCTCAGCAGTGCCTGACAATCCGATTCTTTCTCCCATTCCTGACTTTCCCTTACTTCCACGTGGCTCCTCTATTTCCCCTTCACCCTCACTCCCACTCTAGAGCCTCCATTTGTGCTCACCACAAAAACACTTTGGAAAATGTAGTCTGGCCTCTTACTCCAATTATTTTTCTTGGGAAAAAATTTGTCCATTTCTCAGATTCTGCACCAGAAAGGAAAGTTCAGGTGCTGACAGTCACAAAGCAAAAACCCTTCCTGAAATGCAGAAAGAAGATAGAAGGACTTCATATTCATTAATTCTTCTATCCTTGCTCTGCTTAAACAGTCACTAGGCACATCTTTTCCTGTGTGCCACTCTGTGGGACGACATAATCAGGTCAAGGAGGCTACAAGCCCCTACAGGCCATAAAAATGTAATGCTCATCAAACACAATGCTAAAGTCTTCTCATTTCCCAAACCATGTATTCTTCCATTTGATTTGCACATGCTTCTTTCAAGAACATTTTTGCTGAAATTTTTTGGTAGGAAAAGTTAATCTTATGCTCCAAAATGTAAGACAGGGAGTCAACTGGTTGAAGCTTTACCTTGTTCTTACCAAGAGGAGGAAACAATGAGATTCAGTGACTTTGCTAGATTTTGAGTGGAATGAGAATAATATTTTTGAATTAATACAGGGAGTTTTCAACCATAACCTGTTCTGGCAATCCACCTAAATTTAGTGACTTCAAAGAACAGTGATTCCTGTGGGTCACAAATTTGGACAGGGCTTAGCTGGGTGATTCTCCTGCCGTGCATAGTTTGATCTGGGGGATGTCAGTGGAAATCCATTGGCTTCTGGTCTTCCTTAGAGGATCTATGACAATTTTGCTCACATGTCTTTTGCTGTGGAGGGGATGACTGGAAGGCTAAGCTCCGCTGCACCCCTCTTGTCTCCACATAATTTCAGGGCCTTTCCATATAGTCTTTCCAGGGTAATTGGACCTCTTACATGGCAGGGTTCAGGGTTTCAAGAGTGAATGTTCCAAAAGACAACAAAACAAACAAACAAACAAAAACTGCCATTCTCTGAACCAGAAATGGGCACATTGTTACATTGTTATTGTTATTTCTAGTATATTCTATTGGTTAAAGCAGTCATTAACTCAACCAGGTTTAAGGTAAAGATTCAGAGAGCTACCATTTGAAGTCAAGAGTGTAAAAAAGAAATTGTGGTTATCTCTTACCCACCATACTGCCTTATCTTATCAAGATCTATGCCTGGAAGGCTAAGCTCATGTGGTTTCTTCCATAGCAGGGACTGGCAAACTGGCCCACAGCACAAATCTAGCCTTCCACCTGTTTTTGCAAACAAAGTTTTATCAGAACCCTGTTGCATTTATTCATTCATATATTGTCTATGGCTGTTTTCACACTACAGCAGCAGAGCTGAGCAGCTACTGCAGAGACCATATGGACCACAAAGCCTAAAATATTTACTATCTGGCCTCTCATTAAAAAAGTTTTCCAACCCCTGTTCTACAGCACACAGAGAACCCAGGTTACGACAAAGACAGTAGAAAACATACCCTTTCTGGCTGGGAGCGGTGGCTCAAGCCTATAATCCCAACACTTTTGAGGCTGAGGTAGGCGGTTCACCTGAGGTCAGGAGTTCAAGACCAGCCTGGCCAACATGGCGAAACCCCGTCTCTACTAAAAGATATGAAAATTAGCCAGGCATGGTGGGGGGCGCCTGTAATCCCAGCTACTTGGGAGGCTGAGGCAGGGAGAATTACTTGAAACGTGGAGATGGAGGTTGCAGTGAGCTGAGATCATGCCACTGTATTCCACCCTGGGCAACAGAGTGAGACTCTGTCTCAAAAAAAAAAAAAAAAAAAAAAGAAAGAAAGAAAACACAACCTTTCCAGCCCTGGTAAACTGCAAGCAGTGAGAGAAGCTCAGATATGTATACCTCCTTGTGCCTTGTACGAGTGGGGTTCTCCAGGGGGTCTATAGTGAAAAAATTCAGCTGTTGGGGAATCTGAGGTCACTAAAGGAACAAGGCTAGTGGCATGCTCTTCTGGCTGTCCTGGAGATGGTGAAGGGGTGGTAGGCTTTTAGGAGAAGTCCTGTGCTCAGGCACTGCCAGTGTGGCAGGGCACGATACTGCAGCAGATGAGCCAGGGCAGCAGTTCTCTTTTGGGAGTCAGAAGGCCCCACACACTTTGGCAAACAGCACAGAGGTGAACAGTCCTTGGGAGCAAGCTTGGAAAATTTATGACTGGTGCAAATGTCTGGAACCAGACAGACCCCTGTAGTCATTAGTCCAGAGACTAGACCAGAGGTCTCACTCACCAGCAGAACAATAAGAGTCTGAAGCTCCCCCGAGGGATACAGGCCCTTGCACACACTCCACTACGCTTGCCTACCCTCACCAAGAAGAGCAAGTGGAGGAGAAAGTTGAGTCGTCTGAAAAAGACAGCTTACACTGAAAAAGAATGCATTGCCATAAATTGTAGCAAATTTGAATTTTGTATCTGAATACCTTCTCCCAACTAATCAATAAGGTAGGCCTAAAGAATGTCAGATTATTTGTAGGGAATAGATAAACTATATTTGTTTTACATACCTGAGTGTTGAATATAAATTTTAGACCCTGTTACCGTAAGATTATATGAGTTTCCTATATTCTATATTCTTTCAAGTTAAATCTGCATTGTAAAGGTCTTAACATCATTGGCACAGAATGAACTCCCTTTTTGAGAGATGGAGGACATTCTTGTGGTAGATCGTAAAGAGAAGTTTATGAGCAGTTTGGCCTAGTTCCACTGGGGTTTGGATTGATAATGACCTTGGGCAATGCAGTGTAATATAATGTTGAAAGGAAGCCATTAAGGCCAGGTTCCTACCAAGCAAATAACAGTGGAGTTAATTCAAATAACTCCCTAGCAAAGTGTCTGCCTCCACCAAACACTGCTATCACTTTGCTTCACATGATAAAGGGTTCATGTTATTTGCAAATGAACTAATTCTGGCTGTCGGGAAACACTGTTGGAGGAGTAGTTTTTAGCTGGTGACTTCAAACATAGCTGTAGCAGTATGATTTGTCTCTGGCATGGTTGGCAGGAACTGCTTGAAGACCTAGAGAAGGGGGATCCTGGGTTTGAAAATAAGGGCAACCCTTCTCTAGGGAGTCAAATGGGTTCTTGCTAGGCAAAGGCAAAGCTATCCAGGAAGACTGAGCTCTTAATGGACAAAGGGTCTACCTTGAGCCAAATTTCAAGGCAAGTTATTTATCATTGTGTAATAAACCAGTCCCAAACTTAGTGGCTTAAAACAACACCAATTTTATTATCTCTCATGAGACCATAGCTGATGGAGCTCAACTGGATGGTTCTTCTGCTCCATGTGATGTCATCTGAAGCCACAGTCATCTGAGGATCATCTGGTTTTGGAAACTGCTGGTGGTGCTGAAGTCTCCATGGGGGTTGTTGATCAGAGTACCTAGATTCTCTTCCACACCGTCTCTCCATGTGGTTAGGGTCTCTCAAATCATGGCAGCTGGGTTCCAAGAGGAAGGAAGTAGAAGTTCCCGGTTCTCTTATAGCCTGCACTTAGAAGTCTTAGAATTTCACACTTGCCACATTTTATTGGTCAAAGCAATTCCCTTATTTCTGCTTCAAGGGGAGTAGAAATAAACCCTACATTTTGACATGAGGAGTGGCATGGGCATACAGGGAGGGGAGGGATTGTTGGGGCCTATATTAGTAATTTCTCCAGAGAAACAGAACCAGTAGGAAAGTTTCTGGTGTTCCAGAGAAACAAAACCAATATGAGAAGGAGAGAGAGAGAGAGAGCATTGCATTTAAGGAATTGACTCACACAAGTGTAGGGAGGCTAAGTCCAAAATTTGCAGAATAGACCAGCAGGCTGGAAACCCAGGGAAGAGTTACAGTTCAAGCCTGTAGGCAATTTTCTGGCAGATTTTCTTCTTTCTTGGGGAGGTCAGTCTTTTTCTATTAAGGCTTTCAATGGATTGGATGAGACCCAGCTGTGTTATAAAGGGCATGCTACTAGAAGTCCAGCAATTTAAATACTAATCTCATTTGCAGAAAACATCCTCACAGAAACATCCA